CGTACGATGAAATATGTGACTTATACATCCAGTATATAAGTTTCAGGTATCCCGGCAATGTCATAACTGTTTTCGACGGTTATGAAGATGGCCCTAGTATAAAGGAATGTACCCACATGAGACGTACAGGACAATATGAGGAGACAGTGAGATTTCAACCAGACATAGAGAGGAAAGGCAAAAAGGAGCATTTTTTGTCAAATGCCTCCAAAAAACAACGGTTTATCCTGCTATGCGCAAAACTTCAATCAGCTGCAACTACCACAGTTCATGATCCTGGTGACGCTGATCTTCGTATTGTGCTCACTGCCATTGATATGAGTCAATTGTTTCCAACTATTCTAGTCGGTGAAGACACAGACTTGCTGATTCTTTTGTTGTACCACGTAAACAGTACAAGCGTACACGACATTTTTCAAGCCAGAGCCAAAACTAAGATCTACGAAAAAAAATATGTGGGACATCAAGAAAACAAAGTTGACTTTGGGGCCCCGTAATACTTGGGTGCGATACCACTTCTCGACTTCACGGAATTAAAGAAGTTTAAAATAGATGAGATGTCAGCATAGATGAGATGTCAGATAGGATAGATGTCAGCAGGCAAAAGTTTTCGGATGTCAGGCAACCTTAAAGAACGATCTGATTGCTGCTGGAGAAAAAGCGATTTTATCTATGTACAACAACATAAACGATAAAACTCTTGATGAGCTTCGATATACAATTTTTTGTAAAAAGGTTTCTACTGGATCTTCATTTGTTCAGCCAGAAAACTTATCACCAACATCTGGAGCAGCTGCATACCAAAGCATGAGAGTGTTCTACTTCCAACAATGGAAAATGAACAACACATTAACACCTTCCAATTGTGGAWGGCAGATTGTGGATGGCAAACTGCTTCCTATCAAAACAGATCGTCCAGCAGCTCACAACGCACTTCTTGAGATAATCAGATGCAATTCCAAGTCAAACTGCAACAATAATTGATGTACTTGTAAAAAGTATAACTTGGATTGTTCTTCTGCATGCGGTACCTGTAAGGGTCACATCAAGTAGTGAGTAATGTCTATGTATAGGGTCAGGTTAATTTATGCACAAATTATATATTCATATATTCACGTTGCCATGACAAATCACCGGAAACGGAAGTGAATGGGGTGATGAATCGCCCAATGAGAAGCGAGAAGTGGTGACGTAAGTGGGGATGGATTGCCCAATGAGAAGCAAGCGGAAGTGGGGACGCGTCGCCAGGGAATGCAAGGAAATACACGTGATATGAGTTTAAGAAGATTTAATGAACTAAGCAATTACTTTGTGGTTTACATGTTTTGTTTTTAAGTTTTGAAAGCTAATTAAAAAAGTCCTGAAGTGTTGTACATGGGAGGACGTGGAGCGGGATATGGTCTGCTGTTGCCAAAGGTTGATGGTGGGATGAAACTGGATACTGAAGCTTGTGGTTGTTGCCAGGGGGTGAAGGAAGGGTTGGCTATGTTTCTGTGGTCTTGACCAGGAGTAAAGTACTGGCCTGCATTTCTGGGAATGGGTGGCGGAGGTTGGTTGGTGTGCTGAAGGAAATAGATGTAGCGAGCATCTTCTTCGTCATAGCGTCCTCTTTTTGGCGAGGGTCCTAGAGGTTGAGGCGCCAGTTGTTGCTGAAGTTGTTCGCGGGAAGGGATGACTTCGTCACACCATGCGAAGTAATTACATGACACATCCGGGTAGGTGGCCGAGCACGCGAGTAAGGTGCGGTTGTTGTTTTTTTGAGAACTGCTGACGTTGACTTTGGCGTAAAGGTTGTGTTCAGTACACTTGGGAAGGTAGTTGGGATGAAGCCCAAAAAGGCGGTTGTCTAGAGCATTGTAGTGATCCTTTTTTATGTACATTTTGCATAACAGTTTGGAAGTGGCATAAACGTGCGCTTTGTCGTCTTTGGTTTTGGCGCTTTTTAGACGATCATTGATGGTCTTGTAATCCACCTTGACGCCACACTTGAAGAAGGTAGCATTCTTAGTTTTGACGGTGGTGTAAGGTGAGTCACAAAAGCAGGGATGGTTGACTTGACTAAACTCGTCTTGAGGCGGTGGCGGTGGTAGTGCCTGAGCAGGAATTGGCGGTGGTGGTGGTGGTGGTGACTGAAGATGTTGTAACTGCTCTTCAGACATCGTAATCTTGATCTGGGTCTTGATTTTGGTTTTCGTTGTCTGACGCTGGAGTTGAGTGAGGAAAGGTTTGAGATGGGTCTTGATATAGCTCGGTGGATTGGGGGTGGGACTTAGGTAAGCCAATAGAACGACGTTTACGTGGCGGTGTTATGACGGAAGTAGGAGGAGTTACAGCATCAGGTGATGAAGGATAGCATGGCGCTGGAACAGGTGGTCCATGGAATTCGTCATCGGACCATTCACTTGGCCAGGTGATGACACGTGCGTCAGCTTGACCCTTGAATAGTTTTTGATGGATGTTGATTTCTGAATCGATGTTGTGTCGTATTCTTCGCAGTGTTTCCCACGTGGAGGAATGATAATTATTTTGGTGAATGGTACATGAGAAGGTACACCATGGATACTGTTGGTTGCAAATGAAGGTAATATTGCGCGCGTAGAATGTAGAGGTTTCCGCGGTACAGAGTTCACCATGAGAGTTAGTAAAGTAAAAGGTGCAAGGTTTTTCGCAAAGGCAAAGAGGCAGGCTGGCATTGCAGTGTCCACTCATGCTGGGGTTGGAGTCTTTGTGATGTGTTTTGAAAGAGATCTGTGTAAAGTAGGAAGTTCCTTCTCTGTGTCAGCGGTTTTAGGTCTCCGGGCAATTGCACCATGAATTCATATGCCGTATTAAGTCAATGAGGTTCGTGTTTTGAGCGTCGCACATGAGGCGTTCCCAACACGTGGTCATGGGAGTGATGGCCAGGTTACAAGAGTCGTTGATCATGTCACGTGGGTTGGCACCAGCACGAAAGACGTTGAGGACGAATTCGCTGAGAACCCAGAGTTGATTGTCTGCTTGGATTGGTGCGGAATAAGAGGCGGGATAAAGACGCCAATGGCGGTAAAAGTTGCGCATGCGCCTGCATTGATTTTTTCGGCTGGAAAGGTTAGACCAAGGAACGTAATGGGTATCCACGGGAAGGTCTTTAACGGTGTCCATGCAATCCAGAAGAAAGGTAAGGAGGATGATGCGCATGCGTGGCGTGAGGTAAGTTTGTTTGTTTTCCCACCATTGGCTAGGAACGTTGCATAGATAGTCAAAGTGATCTTTTTTGATACGATTTTCCACGTGTTGAGTTGTGCGGGTTAGTGCCATGTTAATTACGTCGAGAAGCGATGTGCTGTTCGTAGTCCAGACCACCAATGAGTTCTAGGAGGGGCACGTCCTTTTTGTAAGCTTCCATGGTTGAAGCATCGAGGCAATCTGATTGGACGTCCATGTTTCTTGTTTTAAACGCCAAGATGCGATATTTGCAAAAGTGCAACCAGCGGCGGGCATCGGGCGGGCTGTGCGATTTGTAAAGTTCTTTGATCCACAGGTACTTGGGTTTGATAAAGCCATGATGTTCAATGTCACAGGATCCTTCAGCATGCACGAGGTCCATGCAGTCGAGGTAGAATTCTAGGATTTTAGCGCGCTCTGCGAAATTAGTTTGCGCCATGTCATCTTCAGAAATGGGAGGCAAGCCCCAGGAATCGAGGTGCTGATGAAGGGTGGTAAGAGCGCGAGTTTGAGGTCTTGTTGACTGCTGGTAGTTGGGTGGGTTTAGTGATTTTTCTTTTTTTCCAAGCACATTTGTAGCGCCACATCCATGCCGTAACGAATGGCCAGGAGGTCGAAGGTGGGAACAGACAAATATTGACCGGTGGTAAGTATTTTGCTGAGTTCGGTACTTCCGTGTGAGATGACACGTTTTAGGTGCCCTTTGTATTCTTGAATATGGGCGTAGCATTGCTTGGGGTCGTAGTCATGGGACTTGTAATTGTCGGACAACCATTGGTGTTCTTCCTTGACCTTGGCGGTAGGATGGATGACGTCCAAGCAATCCAGGAGAAAGAGAATGAGCAGGAGCGGAGGCACGTGTTGATGGAGGTCTTGTGGAAAACAGGAACATTCTTGAACTTGATGAAAGTTGAGACGATCACGTGTAGAGGTGATGAGACGGGTGTGATAGGTATCGGATGTTTCCATGATGAGACTGGATGGTGTAAGCGGTAGGTTAGAGTTTTTCTAGGCCTTTCTTGACGCCAAACCCCACCCCAACTCCAACCGCGTCAAGGCTAGCAACTTTGGCGGCAGCTATGGCAGCCGGAACAAGCGCCAACAAGGGAAAGAGACCGCCTTGCTGAGAGCGTTTGTTTCGTTTTCTACTTCTCTTTCGTTTACCTCCCACTTGGCCATAGCTTTGTTTTCGCGGTTTGGAACGGATGGTTCCGCCTATTTGCCCGCCATAGGTTTGTTTTTTCTGACGTGGCCGGATGCCTCCGCCTCCGCCTCCTTGTTTACGTGGCATGATTGTATTGGTCAATGATGCTGGTGTGAAACCTAATAAAGGAGCACCAAGTCGATGGGCTTTTATTCAATTTTTATCATGACTACAGGACCAGCCCCAAGATCAAGACCAAGACCTTTTTCATTGCATGTGCTACCTACCATGAAAGTGGATGGACCCGTTAAGATGTTTCACGAGACGGAAGCCCCAGAGCCTCAGGTAACTTTTGAGGTGACGGACGAGGTGATGGCTGCCATGCCTGTAGGCACGAAGCATGGAGGCCCCAATTATTTAAGACCCTTGTCCAGCCGTCCCAATTCAAATCAGGAAAACTGGGTTCTGGGATTGGATAAAATAAAGAATCCTGCGAGAAGAGACCAGAGTAACGCGTTGTTATTGTTGGATTCCAAGTACAACGATTTGGTAAACCTTGAAAAGACCTTGTTTGGAGGAGTGATGATGAGGCTGAGACACTTTAAGACCAACATGCAAGGCGATAATTTGGAAGACGATGAAGAACCAATGGGGGCTAGCATGGGGGAGCTTCATTACGAATACAGGGAAATGGTGAACGCCATTTCAAAAGCTAGGAAGGAAACCTTGGAGTTCATTATGACGTTGACTCGATGCTGTGGATCCAAGCGTGAGGAAAGCGAGGAGGAAGGCAAGGAGGACAAAGTGGATACGGCACGTAAGAGAAAGAAAAAGAAAAGGACAAAGAAGGAGAAAGAAAGTGAACGAAGTGGTTCTAGACCCCCGAGGAAAAGACGAAACGGACGGAAAGGATATAAAGGGGGAAGAAAAGGGGCACGAGTACCAATTTACTGAAACGGCATGGGGAGACGGCGACGACGTAGGAAACCACAGACGGGGGGTAACGTTTTCAAAAGCCTAAAGAATCGGGCGCAGAACAGCCTTAGTGGCCAATAAAGCTCAAGGAATAGCTGGTAGATTGATTAATTCTAAAGTAAAGTCCAAGAAAGCACGTGCTTTTCTTCACGACCAATTGAAAGCCGCCGTGCCGTTTATTAAGAAGCAAGTCGCGTCAAGCATGCAGTCAGGAAGTGGATTTTCTTCTAACAAGAGATTGGAACGTGCCATGCGAGCGTTGAAGAGGTTTAACAAGACAAAGCTGAAGCGATGATTTTGACAGTGATGACTGTGACGTTGATGATTTGGGAGGAGTGGAGTCAAAATTTGAGCACGCCGTTTATCGTGCACTCATTGCTCGAATGCCGTCGTGGGAAGAAGATCTTTGTTAATGCGAAGGAGACGTCGAAGACCCAAGAGAAACGATACCGAGGAAATCATGTACAAAGCAATAATGGGACACGTGGGAACGCTGAGGATGCTGTTGGCTCAAGACGGTGTGCACTTGGGCGGATACGGTCAAGTGGTGTACGGTTTGTTGCAAAGCTTGGAGTACGATGTCATGTATGCAGAAATGCAGAAAGAACAACGAAAGGCACGAGTGGATCTTCATCAGCTGTTGAGCGAATCTCTGGAAGCGTTGGGCGGGGACAAGTACGTTAAAGGACCTAAGAACGAAAGCGTGATTGAAGAAGAAGAAAGAGAAGGAGAAGAAGAAGGACCTATTGAGATTGTGACTGTGCCCATTAAGCCATTGCAATCCGTGAAACCCGTGAAAAGAAAGAGGAAAGTTAAGACAGGAACGAAAGATGAAGCAAGAAGGAAAGTTCCGGCATTGATGAAGGAAGGAGAAATTGTGCCAGTGGAAATACCCGCAGGGCCTCCAGGCGAGAAAAGCATGTCCCCCATTGAGGAAGAAAACCTAAGGCTTCTTCTAGGCTCCATTACCAACCCGCAGCAGACAACAGTCTAGATAGACGGACAATTTTTTTTTTTGAGATAAGAATTTTTGTAGTAAGGCCATGTTTTTTGTGAAAAAATAAAACCAGACTTTTGTGTTACTTGAACGTTGTCTTTATTGCTTTTACGTTTACATTTTTATGGCAACAATTGCCTTGACAAGGTTGACCCAAGGGTCCTATCTTGTTATTAAACTTGGGACGGAGGGACTTGGGAATCATGACGTGACGTTGTCTTTCTTGTTGAGTGCGGTGAAGGGCTTGACGAACTTGGAAAAAGAACTGCCTCGTGTACGAACGTAGAGACACGTGAGACAGTAATGTCCACAGACGAACGTGTTAAAAGCTTGCAGTTGAGGCATTTTTACTGTGTCCACCATTTTGATAATGTCTTGTAGGAGAGGATCTTGGTAGTCTTTGAGGTGCTGGGATCCGTACGAGTCCATGATTTCAATGCGCTTGGTTTCGGCGTCGGGAGCAAACAAAGCAATCCAATGTTGACCAGGTTTGTCAATGGGGTCGGTATTGAAAATCATGCCCCAAGGTCTTGGCGGTTCTTGACCTTGACTGTACTTTTTGAGAAGAGCCAAAGCTTGATCTGCTCCTTGAGTGCCGACGTAGGAGTACGTGGGGTGCTTGTGATAATTGGGACGGTACGTTGCGACCGTGTTGATTTGATTGGTAAGAAGTTGTCCTTTGCTGTTCATGACGATTTAATAGCTGTATCTCAGGGAAGCGTTTTTGTTACCATCCAACCACGTTTCTTGTTCAAAGTACCCGCTGACGACCATGGTCGTGTTGTTGGCAGTGTTGGCCGAGAAATCCACGTCGATGTTGACGTTGCCTACGTTTCGAGCGTAGCTGTAGCCAAAATTTTGTTCACCGTCAGGATTGAAGTTGTAGAGGATAAGATAATTGCCGTCCTTATACCCTTTTCGGTCGATACCAATGGGTGCAGAGTCGATGCCTCGTCCTGAGAACTGAATGAGGGTATTGAAGCCTTCTTATTTATGATGCGAGGTAAGGTCCAATCGCTGATGGGGAATTTCTTCTCCGTCGACGGTAACGCGAAGGGACGATTGATTCATGTCACAAAAGTTGTAAGGGGTATGAGTCAGGTCACCGGTAAAAGCCGTTCCTCGTTGAAACTCAGTGATCATGTAGTTGGGTCGGTATCCCTGAAACACGTTATGCATTTGTGCTCGTCGTCGACCATCGGGAATGGTATGGGTAACGGTTCTGTTGGTAAAGTATGGAAACAGGGCAATGTCTTGATTTTCCAGCATAGCGGCCTCCATTTTGATGTGCAATTCGCTGTTGACGTCCACGTGACGAATGTGCAACTTGGGAGAATAATTGACCACGGTGTACGAGGCGTTGGGGTGGGTAACGGCCGTAGCGCCCACGTTGGGACCATTCATCATGACCAAGGTTCGATCGTTCCATAGGATTCGAAACTTCAATTCACAGCCAGGAGGCAGGTAGCGCTGACTGGAGAAGAGGGGAATGACGGGTCTGAGAATGAACGTGACGGCACGTCCTTGGCAGCACAACCCGACACGTTCTTTGGCTCCTTGGTTAGGAGTGACGCGATTAAACGCGGCACGAATGGCGTCTCCTACTTCTGCAACTGTGAGCGCTGCGCCTGCCATACCTGGATTAGCAATTGCAATGTCATTGGGATTAACGTTGTCGAATTGGTCGGGAGTGTCGGTGGCCCATCCTTCTAGCGACAGCAAGGATTTCTTTTCTTCTTCAGAGTAGTTAAGCAGCCGGTCAAAGTAGGCTTCTAGATGATAGTGATCGGCATTAACGGCAACGGCTCCCTTGTTGATGGTTAGTTGAATTTGCTTGATAAGAGAGTGAGACACGTTATTGATGGGTACGGCTGCCGAGGTATTGGTAAGGAGCGCAGGCACGGCAGCACCATCGTTAAACTCCACGTCAAATTCCAGTAGGGCCTTGGTCATGTCAATCCAGGTTCATGTTCGGTCTACGGTAATTTCCAAAGGGTCCACCATAGCCGTAGCTTGCGTGTAGACTTCACATTTAGATTTTTCACAAGTGACGTCAATGGGTATTCGTTTGAACAAGTCGACCACGGTTCCTTTTTGCACCTTCAATGGAGGAGCATCGTCGCGCGAGGCTTTGGATGAGGCAGGAGCAGCACGCCCTCCGTGTTGTCGTTTCATGACGAGGTCAAGCTGTCAATTAGGGTAAGGGGGGTCGATCGGCGGTCCTTTTTATAAGGTTTAACTGTTAAGGATGTCGTTTCGGAACACCTTGTATTTGGTACGTCCTCGCGCAAGCACGCCTTGCTTTTCGCGTTTTTGTGCAGGGCTCAAGCTGGTGTCTTGGTCAATTCTTTTAGACTTTTGATCGATGAAATTGATGATGGAGTCTATTTTTCGCAGTTGCTTGATTTGTTGGGGTCTCAAGTTGTTTTAGTGGTGTAGACGTGCCGGGTACGTTTCCAAAATTGATTTGTCGCTTGAGAGGGGCTTTGCCTTTGCCTTTGCCTTTGCCTTTGCCTTTGCCACGACCACGACCTTGTCCCGTACTCTTGGGAGTGGCGCTTGCTGGTGTGACTCCCGAGGGTCCGGCAGGAAGAAACCAAGCAGGAATAGGTGCTGCAACGGGTCCAGGAGCAGGAGCAGGAGCAGGAGCAGGAGCAGGAGCAGGAGCAGGAGCA